TGAGGACCCAGTGCCCACAGTTTGTGTATTTCAGGGGTTTACTTCAGTGCAGCTCTTGTCTGGTCCTTATAAACTGAATGTACGATAGGGGCTGGAGTACGTTTCAGACAAATCTCGTTCATGTGCAGAGAGCATGCGATTTGAATTAGGAGAGAGTAAGGGAGCACGATCTAAACTGAATTCCTGAGCTGAGCTACTAATGCAGAGTCATCCTCAGTCTTCTCCTGAAGCAACTTGTCTCCCTCTGTGGACTGTAAAAGGATCCATGGGAGACTGGGTGGCTAAGTTAGAGGCCTAAAATTAGTTACCCGAAATGGAAATATTCCTCCTGTGAGCACATTCATTGTTTTCAACTGTTGTTCATTATTAATATTCTGAAATGCTTCACTAACTCAAACCACTCTGAAATGCTTTCTAGTCTGGTACCCATCAGTGGGACCTTGATATGTATGGTTGACCTTTTTCTGAAAGCCTAACTATTAACACAAATTTTTTAGTCTTTTTTTCTTTTCCTGAAGAACTTGAAGAATCCATAGAAAGGAAGAAACTTGAAGAAGTGTCATTTTTTTCACATACTGCACAAGTCTCCACTCTGCCCTCTGTAATAAACCATCTAGCAGCTGCCATCACTACAGGGCTGGCCTCTGTCTGCTTCGTCAGAGATCAGATTTGGTAGAGTAGTTCTTTTTTCACCATAGATACACTGTACAGTGATGGATGATAGATGCTGCCATGCTGCCTAAAATAGCATACATAGAAGAGACATCTCTAGGATAAGCACATAAGATTTATGAGCCCACAGGTGCCTATAAATTGCCTTAGCATCCTCCACAGTTACCTTTGCTGAGATGGGAATGACGTGGAGCTAATAGAAGGTAAGAATGTTTGTAGAAAGTACCTTAAATATAATATTCATGCTTATGAAAGTGTATATGTATGTCTAAAATCCAATTGTATAACACCTGTATCTGTATGTATGTTATGACCCTTGGGTTTTGTCGATTCTGTTGGGGGAAACTGCTGAGTGTCTCAAGTGGATGATTTACTACTGCCCTCTTTATTCTACATTGCTCTTCATGAGTTACTTGCTCCAGGTTGTTTCATCTCCTCTGCCTCTGCTTCTATTGCCTAGAAAGTATAAAACAAAAAAAGAACATTTAATTGCACTATCTGCTTCACCAAATTACATTTTTGTCTAATTTATGCTGAAAGTAAATTTGTTCTGTTTTAAAAGATTTCTGTCCTCTCCAGCTAGTATCGTCATACTTGGGGCTACTGCACTGAATTGCAGTATGTGTTAAATTATTGCTTTTCCCGTGGGGAATAGCCTCCATCATGACAACCACCTGGAAACAAAGAGCAGACACCTCTCAGAGACTGGAATGACAGCAATTCAGATACTTACTAGACTGGCAAGCTCATTTTCCCACAAGTGAATAGGTTATGACTTACTAGTAAAAGATGTAACAGATTTTTAATACATTGCCCTTAATTTTAACAACCTCCTAGGAGGGGCTCAGTGGGAGAGGACTTTTTATCTCAGGCCATAAAGTTTTAGTAGTTACAGTCCTGCAAGCAGAGTGTTTCAGCTTTTTAGGTTGCATTTGAAAGTAACCAGCTAAAACTTTGAACAGATTAGAAGAACCATAAAAATTAGACAGACCAAACTGCGAATAAGACCATAAAGTTGATTCACTTGTAGCTGCCCAGTGCAGGATATAGACAAAAGACACATTTATCAGATGTTAGAGTGGCCTTGTGCTTGGCATTATGGACAGTGACATGCGAAGATCCAAGCTGTATTTATTAACAAACAGTTGCAGTCCCTTTATCAACAGAGACGCCTCTGCAAACACCAGACAGACCAGCTCTTCTCCCGTATGGTCTCTTTCCTGTCCATCCATTGCAAGTCGCAGATGACAAAGGGCTTGTTCATTTCCCTGTGCACTCAAAACTGTTCTGTGGGGAGCTTGAGCTCCCTGAATGTGATGTGGCACGTCATTGCGAAGCCTACTGTACAAACTCCGAGTAGGACAACCAAGGACAGGTGAAAGGAGAATGCCTGGTCTGAGAGTTACACAGCCTTGAGGTAAAAAGAATGGTTTATGTGACCATTTCAGAGGTAAATCGATGCAAATGGAAGTCCTGTTTCATAGGAACACAAGGGGACAAATGGAGAGACAGCAAATCACTAGAAACCTTTTCCATCCCCTTCAATATTCAAACAGAAGCAGTGAGTCCCAGTTCCCAAATGCTCACAAACAATTGTCAACTTCCAGGTGACTTCTGGGTGAGTAGCTCTTCTGGGTGACTAGCTTTTAACACTGTCTTATTTCCCTCCTCTGCATGGGAGATGTCAGCAGCTTTTCACTGTTTAGAGGAAAAGGGTAGTTTTCCAAATGGGAAGTAGATAAGAAACTTACGGAGGAGAAAGCCTGTGAGGCTGG